CTATCATCTATCCATCCATCCATCCATAATGTCTCTCAGAGGGGCGTGGGGAGGGGCTCCTTATTTTCATCTAAAGTAACAGACAGAGAATCAGCACTTTGGAAACAGGGCTGAAACAGAGGGGATTATGGGTAATGCTGCAATGATCTGTTTGGTGTTTCAGCCAATCAGAGACAGGCTCTGTATATATCTGAGACCTGTTATATATTGATGACAAACCGTATAACAGGCAACCTTTTTAAAGTAATTTTCGCCTGCAGGACTTTCTTCAGCTGTTTAACGGCAGTCAAATGGATGTGTGGCTTTCCCTCTCATTGCTGTCTGTTCTGCAGGTAATTCACTGAGAGAAGACTTCACCTTCCGTCACTCCTTCAGCTCCGAAGTGACCAAACTGCTCAAAGCCTCGCCCGGTCAGATCGTCATCTCTCATCCCGAAAAGTTCCGCTCTAAATACGAGCCAGCATCGCACACACTCGCAGTGGAGGTACTGTCCGTTTGATCATTTGATTTGAACTGGTTTCATTGGGTATTAAAACTCATCATAAAGGACTGTGCTTTCTCTTAGTCTTAGTTTAAGTTAAATGGACCAAAAAGCAATCATTTAAAAATACTTATTTCAAAAGGAGTCACTTTGAACTCAAACACACATTTGTTAATTTATTTCCCAGGACTCCACGGCGGTGTCGGAGGTGCAGGATTTCTTCAAAAAGCACGTGATTCCCCTGGTGGGCCACAGAAAACCAGCCAATGATGCCAAGCGCTACACCAAGAGACCCCTGGTGGTGGTTTACTATGGAGTCGACTTCAGCTTTGACTTCAGGAAAGGTGAGTTTTCTTCAGGTTTGACCCCGGATCATAAAGAGATCTGTGATGCGAGTGGAGATGTGATTCTCCGCATTCATTTTATGAATTCCGTTTTTAAGGACTTTAATTATTGGTACTTTATTTATGGCATCCTCCTAGATTTTACGTACTTTAATATGTCAAACAGGTTGATAATTATTGTTCTTTTTAGAGTATCATTTAAAAAAATGTAAGTCTTAATATGCTCTGACTTTTTTGTAACATATTTAATGATAGTTACTTTTTGTAATATTTTCAGCTTACAATACTATGCATTCCTAATTTGTTTTCAACATACTTAATTATGCCGGTTTTTTCCGACATAATATACTTTGTATTGTGCGGTTTTTCTCTCATATTTGAGATACCATATTTTCAACATGTTCTACTAAGCGGTTTTACTGATATTTTTGACATACTATGACTTTAATTATTTATATTTTGGGGCTTTTCTTATGATAAACTCTTAATGGGGTTATCTGACATCATCAACAACCAATAATAATGAATACAAATTGTGCAAGATTTACAATGCAGTCACAAAACCCCTTTAACCTTGTTTGTCTTTTATATATTTTTTAGCCACGCAGTTCTGGAGGTCCAAGGTGCTCGAGGTGGCCAAAGACTTCCCCGAGTACACGTTTGCTATCGGCGATGAGGAGGACTACGCAGAGGAGCTGAAGAGCCTCGGCCTCAGCGACAGCGGAGAGGAAGTGAACGTGGGGATTTTGGCCGATGGGGGCAAAAAGTTCGCCATGGATCCAGAAGAGTTTGACGCTGACGTGCTGAGAGACTTTCTGAAGGCTTTCAAGAAAGGTGAGGGCTGAGTTGTGGTCAATTTGGAAAGATGGGTAACAGCTTGTCTAGTGGAAATCCTGGTTTTATTTAACTCTATATAAGAGCTGAGGTTTAACTTCCTAAAATAGACCCAAACATGTTTTAAGGGTTAATCCGCTCTAACACTTTGGACTGAAATGAATCCCACATTTGTTCTGAACTTCTTTCTCTTGTCAACAGGAAAGCTGAGCCCCATCATTAAGTCCCAGCCGCTGCCAAAGAACAACAAAGGACCCGTTAAGGTCGTGGTCGGGAAAACCTTTGATGAAATCGTCATGGATACCCAGAAGGATGTCCTGATTGAGTTTTATGCCCCCTGGTGTGGCCACTGCAAGAAACTGGAGCCAGATTATGTGGCTCTGGGCAAGAAGTACAAGGGGGAGAAGAACCTTGTGATCGCCAAGATGGACGCCACGGCCAACGACGTGCCAAACGAGAACTACAAAACGGAAGGGTTCCCTACGATATACTTGGCCCCAAGCAACAGCAAGCAGAGCCCCATTAAATTTGAAGGGGGAGACAGAACTCTAGAGGGCTTCAGCAATTTCTTGGAAAAGCACGCCACAAAGCTATCGCAGAAAAGAGACGAACTTTGAAAGCCTCGAGCTAAGAACTCTCAACGCAGCGGAGATACAAACGGTGTTACTGAGATGCTGCGATGATTACAGTTCAATATTATTTTTTTGTTTTGTTTTCTGTTCATTCCAAGGGATTCAGCTTTCCTATGTTTCTGAAAAAAAGCATGTAAGCACTGTTGAGGATTCCCATCTTTTTAAATAAAAGAATGGCGGCTCTGTAGGCCAGCACTCAAATTCTCAATTTTTTTTTTCAACTGTAAATCAACACAAGTGAACAATGCAGATTAAAAGGTTTTAATAACATGTAAAAACTATTTTTATATTAGTAAAACTAATTTCTACAATCTGAGACGTGCTTTACATTCATAGATAGCTCTTGCAGTTCAGTAACTAAAGTTAGTCAGGTCAGTTAATAATACATCCAGCTGGTTTTCCTATCGGTCTTGACAGGAGAGAAATGCATTTGAACTAATACTTTTTAAATTAAATAGAATCAGCATTTTAACATCGTTCTGAGTAATACAAACCTGGCCGGGTAGATTTTTGTGAAAGTGCATAATTTAGTGAAAATAGTTAGAGCTGTACATAGGACATCTAAATTGTACTAGCTGTATAAACAAGGAAGCAGCATTTCACTGATGCAAAACATCTTTAAAATCAGATTTAGTATAACACAGCCTCGAGCTGACTAAGACGGCTCCTTCCACACAAAGGCACTGATTGGGTCTTCTGCTGAGAAGCTCGTTAGGAAAAGTGCTTTGTGAAGCGCATGTGAAAGTCCCGGATTTTCTGCAGCACGACCTTCAGCTTCTCAGTGGGAGGCAAGATGGTCATCCTGGTGAAACATCAGGAAGGGAGATATGGTTTAATAGCACTACAGATTTAGTGGATGAGACTAATTAACCTTTTTTTACACTGATCCATATAAAGAAGCGGGACTAACCTGAAGTGAAAGGTTCCCTCTCTCTGGCCAAATCCACTCCCTGGCACGAGGCAGATGCCGTCCTCCTCCAGCAGCCTCATGCAGTAAAACATGTCTGGAGCCAGGCCTTCCTCCTGGGGACGGACACACATCAAAATGTATTTAAAGGTCTCCTATTATGCTATTTTTAGGCATATATTATGGGTCTCAGATATGTCTGATATGTTTTGCTCAAAATACCAAACCGATCAGACATCCATTATATCCCTCTATTCCAGCCCTGTTAGAGAAACGCTGATTTGGGTCCTTAGGGGTATCTGCTCAGAATTACCCGGCAGCTACTCAGTTAAATTCTGCCGCGATTAAACGCCATCATGTTCCAAACCACATCAAGGATTATTTCTGAAACAGTATGGAACTCAAATGCTTTTTCTCTCGTGGGTTTAACACAAGGTGAGTTCCTTCCTTTTTTTCTCACATACTCTCCAGTACAGGTTAGCTCTGAGTGTTAGCGATGCTTGCTAATGTAAACAAAGACCAAAAGACGTCGGGCATTGTTTCTGATAGGGCGTCATATCGGACGCAAATCTGGATGAGCTCCGTTGTTCCCCCGTTTTTAGAGATTTGGGTACGGCGGAAAAGAGAGAGGGTTTTATTCCCCGACACACCGGGGACACATTTATGTATAAAAGACATCACAAAGTGCATTTTCCATGATAGGTCCCCTTTAACATCGATGAGTGAATCCAGGAGAGATGAGGTTAGTGTGCAGTGCATACCTTAGCTTTGTCGATAGCCCTCTGCGGCAGAGTGATGCGGGGGAAGGTGTACATGGCCCCCTGCACAGGGTTACAGATGATACCTGGCACTGTGTTGAAGGTCTTCTCCGTTAGCCCCGCCTTCTCTGCTAACGCTGCAAGAACCTCCGTCCGCTCCTGAGGAGGAAGCACGTTATATTGAAATATACTATGGCGTTTTTTTTACTTTTTCAACATATGTCGAAAAAATCTAAACAGTATAGTAAGTCGAAATAAGGCATAGTATCGTAAGTGGAAAAAAAGACATATCATTCCATGTCAAAATAAGGCACAATATCGTATAATAAAAGAAGGGGAAAAAGTATTCTAAAAATTGGAAATGTCGTTTCTTTCGAGACAAGATATTATCTTTGTACTATATCTTTTTTTTCCCTTACTTCCTTTTTCAATATTCTTGGACTCCACAATCACCCTAAAATACTATATATAGATATATCCTCTAACGTTTTTTTTCAGGACATACCACCATTTGAAGCTGATTATGTCTTTATTCAGGGCCATGTGAGAACAGCAGGCATTATGTGCGCTGGTGTTTATAACTGTTGGTGTTTGTGAGTTGTTCCTACCTTCATAAAGGAGCTGTAGGAGGGCTCGTCGGGCTGGGGGGGGTTCACCACCAGCTCCAGGAGAGCCTGGCCGGTGACGGGGGGGCACAGACGCACCGACACCAGCTTCGTGAGCTGGGCCTTCACCTCAGGGTCCATGTTGATCACCTCCATGTAGCCGCCGCGAAACCCACACCTGACCAGAGCAAACAGAGGAAAACACAAAGTAAACTCTTAGTGAACGTCAACAGCGGGAGCTTAGGTCTGTGTGTTTCATTAAGCATGTGATAAAAGGGAAGATAAGATAAACCTTTACTGACCCATGTAGGGAAATGCAGGAGTCAAAGCCAAATGTACCTATAGGCAACACTTTTAATAATAATAAATGTTTAATAATAGTAATAAATTAGATAGAAAATTGCTTCAGTGCCCTCATTCTAAATACATCAACTGAATTAAATTAACAAATCTACATTTACTTATGAAACAAACAAACAATGTTTTCTTTTAAATGCTATAATACACTTTGTCATGGCAGACATCGGTCGATACAGATTACTTTAGAGTTTCCCACTCATCAGTATACAAGAAAACCAGTGGTGGAAGAAGTATTCAGATCTTGTACTTGAGTAAAAGTAGAAGTACCAATAATGATTGATCATGAAAGTGTTCTCAAAGCTGGTAAAGGTGCAGCTAGTTTGAAGGACTTTGTATACTGCAGGGTAGCTTGGGAATTTACTCCAGGTGGAACTAAAGTCTGACTTAAGACCTGATTATATTTACCATCATTCATCCACATCTGTGGATCTGTAAAAGTACAAAATACATGTAGTGGAGTAAAAGTACACATTTAACCTCTGAAGAGCAGAACATGGAAATAAAGCACAACAATAACAATCAAGAGTACTTGAGTAAATGTACTTGGTTACATGCCACCACTGAAATAAATAAATTATTCTATTTGTTTTATGTGTGTGTGTGTGTGTCTGTGCGTGTACTCACTCTCCCATGTAGCATTTGGAGGTGGAGTGGAAGGAGGCCATCTCCACGGTGCTGGAGAACTCTGGTCCCATCTCAAACAGCACTTTCTTGAAGGAGTGGAACTTGCAGCCCTCTGCGTACACGTTGTCCTGGTACACCTGGAGAGGGACAGCAGATTAGTTCAAAAGCACCGTTATCCAGAACAGTATAATCTGATTTTTTACCATGGATGAGCAATTCATTGTTTTTCATTTGTATTAACGTGTGCTCGCCTCTTTATTTAATATGCAATTTCACGTTTGCCTTTTATCTTCACTGTACCTTTGCTGTTGTAACCCTGTACATTAAAGTCGCTGTGGGACAAATACAATATTTCTGATCTGGTTCTGTGTTACCTTCAAGGACTTGTTACAAGTAAAAAAACATACTAAATCTAATAAGTTAGACAGGGTTCATCACAAAAGTATGGTACCATTTTCATAAATAAGAAAAAAGGAAGGTTATTAAATATTTTAATCATTTACTGCAAATTGTAACTTTTAAGGCTAAATTCATTCTTTAATTCTGACACTTGGGTCCCCTCTCTTGACACTGGGTGCTTAATTAATGTACAAATGGTACATTTTAAGGCTCAAATATTATTTTAGGATAAAGAAACAGGAAGTGAACTTCTGAATTGAGGAAATGACATTACTTCGTCAGCCATGAGGAAGAGATGCTCCTCTTTGGCAAATCGGATGACATCTTCAATGCACTTCCTGCTCTGGACCTGACCTGTCACACAGGACGAGCAGAGTTACAAGAAAG